TTCTTCTGAACTCTCAGCACAAAGAGAGCATGTTTAGAGAGGGAAAAATACAGAGGAGCAAATGGCCTTGAACTTGACTGAAAGCTCTGTTTGACATGTTTAGAGTCTAGGTCCATTCCCACTGCTTTGGGAACATGCTTTCAGTATTTAGGAGTACCCAAATATATGTATGTAAGATATGTATGACAGTACTTGAAACCACCAGCAAACAGTTTCTGTTTAAAGGCTGTAATTGTAAATACAATGCTGTCCTTTTATTTTTTAATACGTAGGCTGTGATTCCCAAGCTCTCTGCCATCTTTATTTTGGAAGAGTGATGTTTTAACTGATTTCAGGCCTGCCAGCTCCTGAGTCTCCAGATGTCAATTTTAGCCAGATTTCCTTCCAAGTGCAGTGGAGTGTTTTGGACTTGATGAGTGGCACATCATGTTACCTCCTGGAGTGGCCATGCTAGGCCTGCTAGCTTAGTGCAAAGAGATGGAGTTTCTTCTACAGTGCTGTTCTTCCATCTAAGATTAAAGCTTAAACTTTTATATTCTTAAAGTTGGGACTTGCTGTAAATAGGGAGGTTTGCTTTATCACCTTAACTGGCATTTAGTCGGTGTTCCTGACAATTCTGATTGCTAGTGAATGCTGATAAATTTGTATATAACCTGATCTAAAGCTCCTGTGTATCCTGCTATCTGAATTAACATGACAAAATAAAAGATTATGTAGGGGACTGTTCAAGCTTAAGCTATAAAAGCTTTTCTGTTTTTGTTTCATAGATAGTGCTGATTCACAGACAGAAACATGTACAACGTACAGCAAGGTAAGCCTGTGCAGAACTGAGTGTTTCCCTAATTTTCTTAAACCATCTAAATGATTCAACTTTACAATGCACTTCAAAGAAATTACAGCAGTGGTATCATGCTGTTTTAAAGTGGAATAGTAGAAGGCCAAAAGTTAGTGTGTATCTTGTGTTTTAAATATTTTGGTGTGTGAAGTGATTGAATGCATTTGTAATAGCACTCTTCAAGTAAACTAAATTATTACATTATGGCATGGCTTGCATTTTAACACAGCTGCAGGTAGAAATAGTGACATAAGTGATGGGAGAAAACAACAGCTGGTGGTGGCTGAATGTTAGATGGAGACGTGTTCCTAAACAAAATTCTCCCAGAGCTATTGTACTGAGCATAGCTCTTGAAGACATTTACTATTTGACAAGAGAGTCTAGTGCCCTTCCACTTTCTTCTGAAGGGCACCAGTAATGGGATGTTTCAAAAATGTCACTGCCACTGTGACATCTCCTGATGACAGCAGACTCCTTGAAGACTCCACAGTCTTGCCACCTAAATGAACTTCCCAGCTGGGCAGTTGCTGCTGCATATTTGACAGCTGCATTAAGTTGAAAAACTTCTCAAAAACTGTTCATTAATGTCTCTGCAGTCAACATTCAGCCAGGGCTCCTGCTCCTCTCTTGGTTCCTGGGGTGCCAAATGAAGGCTTTCCTTGGTGAATTTTGGGTCCCATACAGGGAGGAAAAATTGGAGTCAGCAATCTGGAAGATGCCATTCTATGCTTTTTGATTTGAATTAACTTACTCCCTTCAGTGCTTTGACTTATTTCAGTCTTGTGTGTGAAACTGCAGCTTCTTGGAGTCTGGTTCAAGTGAGGAAAACTGTTGGACATTCCTAATCATTAAATAGTGCAGCTTTCCTCTTCTCCAGTATTGTTGCTTAAATCAAGGAAAGATTTTTGGGAGAGGTAGCAGTGGGGCTATTTTCCCTCTCTGCAAAGGCATGAGGATATTTTGTTGAAGTTTCCCATAGCTGCTTTGGTCTCTGAGGTGCCCCTAAAATGCCTCAAGACTTTACAGCAACATTTTATCCCTAAGACCAATAGAAAATTTTATATTAATAATTCTAATTCCAAAGTATTTTTAGACAAAAATGAGACTATACCTTAAGAAAATTGACTAGCCCTAGCAATAGATAGTTACATTACTGAGTATGGCTCCAGTCACAAAATACTTCTGTAAATACAACCTCAGGTTTATTTGACAAATAGGCTTGTCACTAACAAATGTGCATGGCACTCTTCCTAGATAAAAAGAAGAGTTTTCTTGTGCCTCATTTTAACACACATTCATTGATGTATTTGCAGTGGGACAGTATTCAGGATCTACTGGGGCACCCTGTAGAGAAGCCAGTGGTACTGCACAGGTAAAAATCTCTCTTCATTTTGCTTGGCAAGGACTGGGTTGACCACAGAGAACAAGGAGGAGTGTTTATGGCACTGGTTATTTTTATACTGCTTTGCTAGTTAAAGTTTTCAGGGTTTTTTTGGCCACTAACAAGATAGCTGCTCTCAGAAGAAATAGACTGACATGCTGAGTGAAAGCATTTCCAAAATTCCTTGAAATGCAAAATCCAGAGAAGATCTCAGAGAAAACAGTGCATTAAATAGTATCTTTATGAGTAATAAATAGTGTAGAGTTTTGTACTTTTATAAAATATTTCAATAACATGACATTATATAGCACAGTATATATGCATATGATAACATATATAACAGCAGTCTGTCTGAAGAAACTTGTCCTTTATGAACATACGTGGTTCTACAGTTCCTTCAGGCTGACTGAAGATAGAATAGCCTTAAATTTGCTGTGTTTTGTGGGCATTGAGGTGGATACTGGCTTAAATGGGCATTATCTGTTTGTAGAGTTATCATTTTATGATGTGAAACCATGATTTGTATCTCAGGACAAGTGTAAGTGACGGGTACTGTGCAAATACTACAGCAATTTCAGATAAATTATTGTATTTTTATCAAGCTTTCACATAATTTTGACTTTGATTTTTTTTCTTTTTTTCCCCCTCCTTAATAATTTTGCCCTTTGTTCCCCTTTACACCTGTGTCATGCCAGTGAGATGATTAGAGCAGAAGCCATGTGAATGAAGTAAAGCTAAGGTGAAATAGTGATGACATAGAGCCCTTCTATTCTTCCATCTGTGTTGTAGAGAGTAGCTCAACCAGAGAGCGCTTTACTGAGCTCATCTCAAATGGCTCAGACATGCTATTTGAAAAACTGACCAGTTTACAAGAAAGGACAAAAGGTAAATATTCATTAGGGGTTTTTTTTTGGCTGTAATCTAAAATTCATTGCAGTCAACAGAAATTGTCAATGTACAATCAAAAAATACCAGAAATAACTGGAAGAAAGTGCTACATAGATCTTGAAAAATACTGTTAAATAAAACTTGGATTATTCTATTTCAGCGTCATATAGGTTAATCTTCTTAACATGCTGAATCCAGTTGATTAATAGATAGTATATAGTAAATATAAATACCAGACATATATAGTAAATACATGTGGTAGAGGTTGAGACACAAAGGGAAGGATTTTGCACAAAAATAATGTGTGGTAACATGGTGCTTCTCTCTTCCTGTGTATCTGGGGGTTTTCTTAGGTTTCTTTCTGTTCAAGTTAAGTGAGGAGAGTTTTCCTGTAGAGGTCACTAGTGGCTTTTTTTTTTTTTTTTTTTTTTTTTTTACTTTATCCCCAAGCGCTATTAATGGTTCTGTGGCATCAAGCAGAGTTTCCTTTGGCTCACTTGGAGTCTAGCAATGGTGTGCATAATGTAGAGGTACTTTCTTTTGATGAAAGCCATGATAAAGATGCTGTAATTCACCTTATATTGCTGAGTAGTTTTCCTCCTTAAGATACTCCTGATCCTCACATACCCATTTTAAAATTTTTTCCCCTCTTTTCTGTTCAGGTCATCATCTCCGAACAACACTAACCCTTTTGGGTCAACCTTTTGCTTTGGACTGCAGCGAATGATCTTTGAGGTTAGGAAAAAGTCCTTTTACTTTGTCTGAGCATGGGAAGATGAGTCTGCTGTTCTATGAGTGGCTTCTTACTTCCTATTGCAATAAAAACCAGTGCTTGGGAGTGGTATAATTTTAGTGCCTCTTGGCAGAAAGAGGGAACTTTGCAACCTCTTCTCTGAGTTTGTACATTCGCATGTTAAAGCTGAAACTTCAAGTTTGTCACCTGGAACTTGTCCTAGCAGGAGATAAATCACATGACTGGCTGTGTCATGGAAATCTAAGAGACTGTGTTTAGGAACTAGCCAAGGGCTCGTTGCTGTAATTTGTTGTTGGGATTTCTTCCTTCAGGCAGATCACTTCTGTATTCACCATTTTAATACTTCTGATTTTCTGTTTAGAGTAGCACTTTGTTTAATTTCCCTTCTTCCTGCTGTGCTTTTGCAGGTGATGCAGAATAATCACATAGCTTCTGTTACTCTGTATGGCCCCACACGGCCCAGCAGCCAGTTGAGAACGTCGGACCTTCCCCAGTGAGCATCCCCTGCAAAGTCAGCTAATCTCAATGCTACAGAATTAGTACAGCGTGCCTTGATTTGCTGCCACTTATAATATGGAAAGCACGTTATGATTTTATTTTTTTTTTCAATAAGCCTTTCCACCCAGGAGTGGTGTGGAGAGGAAATTCTCTCAACCCTTCATCATGGGGCATGGAACTGTTGATGGAGGAAAGCAGCTTAGGTGCCTGTGCCGTCATTTATTCCTCTCCGTTGCCCTCGTCCTATGCAGCACAGACGTGAAGAGACTGTCCCTCCTTCTCAGCTGGCAGAAGGGGGAAATGGAAGAGGGGCACGTAATGACTGCAAGAATTAGAAGCACAAACTTTCTGAGCCTTGGAGCATCTGGAAGCAGGTATTGATTTTAGTCTGTTTGTGTTACTGTATTGATGTGGTGGTCACATTTTAAGAAAATGTGTGTGTATATATATATATATAGATCTAAACACCTCGGTATTTCTGTGGCTTAGGACATTGTACCAAGTGTGACAAGGATGTATATATGTCCATGATTTCAGGCACCACATCTTTGTGTAACTTTAAACCAAGCAAGTAGCATGTGCATAATACTTGGTTGTAACATTTGCACTACATACACTTTAATTACTTGATAAACGTTTATCTTCACTGAGGAGCATCTGTGTACTGGGTGAGAGTGGGGTGTGGTGGTTATTTAATGTACACTGCGCATAAAGCTTATTTATACAGTGGATCAAATTTATCCACCTTCCTGCACTAATATGTACTTGATATGCTGATACAATTTTTTTCTGTCATGGCTGGTTTACTAATTTTTTTCATATGCAATTTCGAAAGAAAAAATTCTGGAAGGGGTTATTTCTATGATTGAATTATGTTTTAATGAAAAGATTTGATACAATTTTTCATACTAGTGAAAAATTTAACGAAGAAATAATGTTGCCTCATTTGCCTCTGTTCCAAAATCCTTTATTCCTACTCTATTTCCTCAGAGAGAAAGAAAAGCTGTATATAATGGTATCTCAGAAAGAAATTCTGGAATTCCGCCATCACCAATATAACCTTTTCTGTAACTTTTGATGTATGATTTTAATTTATGCCAAAGGTTTAGCCAAAGACATCCTCGTTGTAGTTTCACTGTTTCTGTACATATATGCTAACTGCACACCCCACCCCAGCAGACCGGATATAGGCTTCTTTCTAGTTGGGAGATGCTGCTCGCAACATTTTATCCCAGGAGGATACTTTAGGTTTCTAGTTCTCTTACCAGTCTTATTTGGGAGAAATAGGTGGTCTGTCTTTGAAATAATGAACCCTTTTTAAAAATGGACAAGAGAAATGTATAATTTTATCCCATTTTTAATATTTTGGTGTCGCAACTTGTGATACATAGATGACAATTTTGTGAGTTTTACTATGTGTGTACAGATTTTTGTAAATATGACATTTTTGTAATTCTAACTCCATGTACAGTGTAATCCTGTATAGTTTATCAATGAATGAGAGATAGGAAATCGAATGTTAAGTGAAGTTTGGGATCCTGGACCAGTAGCAGGGATAAATGTGTGTGTGTGCGAGACATTCTTTGCCATTTAGTCTTCCTGTATACTGTGATACTCTCAACTGTTTTGCTAAAACAAACAAAAAAGCCCCATGGAGAATCTAATGGATAAGGAAAAAGTTACTGTTTACCTTTATCCCTAGGTGTCACTCCTGTTGAATCCCTGTTCAATCTGTGCTGTCTCCTGTGATCGTTGCTTGCTAAGAAAATTCTATGCCTCAATCTTCCTTTTTGTTTCCTCTCTAATTTTAATTTCATTTTACATAGCCCTTCTGTAAATTAAATGGAATAATAATGAGCATGTACACTGAAAGAAAAATAAAAAGAGACTCTCAGTTACTGTTTTTGTGTTAAATACAGTTGCTGGGTGTTTTTGTAATAAAATCATGGATGTTCTTGCTTTTTATTTTCTTATTAATTAGTTCTTTTTATTTTACTGGTTTTCAGACTTTGTATTTGAAGTACCTGATGAGTGTATAGTGACTTTATAGCCAGTTCAGTATGTTCTCCAAAGAAACAGTAACTAACATAACTTGATAGATACTTGTAAGGTTCTGCCCTGAAGTGGAGAAGTCTGTAAAGTGTGGTCAGTAGCACTGTGGGCTCTGCATTGTGTTCAGAAATGAGGTTGTTACGTTTCTGTGGGCCTTGGGGATCATGGAAATCAATTGAGCTTTGAAGAGGGGGAATATTGCACAGCAGAAAGGAGGAAATGCCTGCAGTGAAAGCTGCAAATGTGAGTTCTCCTACTGCGTTCGTGTGCCCCAAGCGACTTCCCAGAAAAGCTTTGGGAGTCTCCTGCCCCGAAGCAGCTCAAGGTGAATGCAGGGCATAGGGCAGGGGACTCCTGCACTGCTGTGCGGGCAGGCAGAGCTCTCAGCCTCCTCCTGCAGCCTCCCTCAGTGCTGCAGTGCACACTGACCCTGCCTGCTGCTCGCCTCAGTGTGCTCGCACACAGTTTTATGGTCTCTCAGCTGAGGTGCTGTGCATGCTGATTCTTGTTACTAAAACGTGACAGCAGTCCTGATGCTAACTTCAATTAATTTTAATCCATCCTTTTCTAATAGAGGCTGCAGAGAAGCTGCAAGAGGAGATAAATCCTTGATGGGATGGTTTGAGTAATGGCTATGGCAATGCCACCAATATCCTCCTCAAGCATATTGAGTTGAATTTCTTCAACTTAAGAGTGAGGTCAGGCCTGCTGCTGTAGCATGAGCCCTGAGACTTAGGACAGGAGCAGCAGCTAATCTGTGGTGTTTAATAACTACAGTGGCTCCCAGCTTCACTTGTAATGCTCTGGTGAGATCTAGTGGCTTAAATAGTATTGGTAATTAACAGTTCTCTCTTAACAACCCATATACTTCTCTAGGTCAGCCCCTTGATATTGAAAAATTCTCTGCACAGACAAAAAATTAAAGGCAGTTTTGCATCTTGGCTGTTGCTGCTGGGCTGAGCTCAAAGCATTTGACTTTTGGGAGAGGCAGGTGTGAAGAAGCACCAGGAGGGAGAATGTGGAGCTGCTTTTATGGATTTCCTCACCCACCCTTTGTGAATGCAGCTGTTCACAACCCTCTTGTCTGAGATGTTTTGATTTGTTTGCTCCTTTTTGGACTAAGCCAAGCCAAGCTGTTCCTGAGCTGATGCATTAGAGAAGCGTTGTGGAGCATTTAAGGACTTAAGGACTTGCTGCCATGAGAAGTTCAGCCATGGGTAGAGGGAACTGATGGTGGGTTTGAATCAGAAAGAAGAGAGGAAGGAGTGGAGGAGCTCTGGGGGACAAGGCAAGGATGGCAGTGTGGCAGGAAGGGAGGCTGAGATGAGGCAGTTTCTCTGAACCAAGAGCTCTTCTGGGCAAAGGGCTGCTCAGGGGGAGCAGGGGGCCAGCTCTGCCTCCCCCTCCAAAGGAACTGAGAGATTTGGGCATCAGATCCCATTTTGCCAGGTGGCCTTGTTCCTTGTGATAATCCTATGTGGTTTGATACAGATCCTGCATGTTGGCAACATGTGCATTGATCCACTATTTTGGTTTCATATGATAAAACTGTTTGATATAAAGTAAAATTGCATTTTTAATAAAACATGTAGTGCATATGATCTCCTTCTGATGTGTGCTGTTTTCCTTTGTAAAGAGGTCAGGAGTTTGTGTGTGTGCTTAAATTGCAGTACTGTCCACAGTATTTCATTTGTTTACAATTAATAAAACTGATTGCTGTGCCCTTCTCTAAGGAGGTGAAGCTGACATTTCTTCACCTATTTTCCAGGCCTTCAAGCAGTCCCTGGGGTCCTGTGATGGCTTCAGGCAGTGCTGTATAGATAAGTGCTGCTGTGTAATACTAGAACCCTCTGTTCCCCAAATTGCAATTCCTGACAAGGAAAAGCAATCTTCTCTTGCCAAGAACTGCCACATTTTTAATTCTAAACAGATTTTTTTTTTTCCCTGAAAGACTAATCATATGGTGTGTTAGAACTTATTCATGTGATCATGATCATTCAAATTCCAGAGCTCCCATCCAACCTGTTTAAAACAAAATCTTTCAGCTCTACAAGTAGATGGTGATTCATCATTGCTTTGGGGCTGGCTGGAGATTAGGGGCCAGCTGCTGTTTTCCAGAGGGAAATTGTGGGTGGTGCTGCCCCCTTCACACTGACTTTCTACCTGCTGTTAGAACCTGTTAGTCACTTAACTACCCTAAGCCAGAACTTCTATTGTGTTGTTGTGTTTGGTGGCTCAAAATGTACATTGAAAGTAAATCTGTGTGAGTCAGTGTGGCTCTTAGAAATGTTATGTCCAAACCCTCTCTTCATCCTTTCTCCAGAGTATTTGGGCAAAGACCAAGTTGTCTGATTTGGCACAATTTCACATAGGCTGGTTGTGTTCAGTATATTTTTTGATGTTATGATGCAAGAAACATTATTCCATGCTAGTTACAATTGTTCTGTGCCACCTTTTGCCTGATAAACACCTTTTTTTAAAACCTTGATTACACCAGTGCAAAGCCCCCTCCTCTCTGCCTGACTCTGTCAGCCACAATCTGCCACAGCACATGGAGCCAAAGAAATACCTCACTGTGTGTGCTGTTCAAATCCTGGTTAGTTCTGGTGGTTCTTTTCATGTGAAGCATGAACCAGGTTGTGTCAGAGAGAGGATAAGGCTGAAGTAAAACAAGGGGAAATGGAAAATGGAGCTCACTGGAGATGCAACTGTTAAGCATTAAAAACAGGCTCAATGAAGCAGAGCTCATGAAGGATTTTTTGGGGGGGAGTGTATGTGTTATTTGGGGGCTCAAGTAAGTACTTAAGGTGTAACTTAAATACCATATTCTTTGCCTATGTGAATTTGTGCTGTGACTAATAAAGATGCTGTTAAAATATTTATCTGCCAACATCCCAAGCTCTTGTGGTGTATGTGGGGATGTCTGTTTTTCCAGCAGGTGAAATAATTTATCCTCATCATCTGGAAAACATGAGTGCTTGAAACAGCAGGAAAGGTAAGCTGGAGTTTGCAGGGCAGGGCATTCACTCTGGTGTAAGAGACCATTATTACAGTAACTTTTGTTCTGGAGTAATGGTTTAATGTAATCTTTTTCATACATTAATGAATCTCTCTTTAAATTTCACTCCTTTAGTTATTTTGAAGTACTGCATATTCCAATTCTGGAAGCTGGCTTTAAGTGCCTTAATGCTTTACACCTACACTATATACATATATATATATACATATATATATATATATATATATATATATATATATATTCCACTGAGTGCATAAGTTTCATTATCTTATCCTTCAGAGAGGCATTTAGTTTAAATACCAATCAGAAAAAACCCTGCATGATTATGCAATGTGCAATCTAATCAACTAAATAATCAAACCAGCCTGATTTGCTGTATTCCCTTTTCCCCTCAGCTCATCTCAGAAAAACTGCAGCCCTGAAATTCTGAATTTACCCTGTCCCTTGCTGGGTAAGCTCTGCTGCATCCACAGTAGGGAGGTTACAGAGATTATTCCACCCTTTTCTGCTTTTCTGGCTGTAGACACCAGTTGTCTTCTTGTCACACCTTGATTCCCACCCAACTCAGGCACCCCCCTGGGACAAGGCTGTCACTGCAAACCTGTGTTAGGTTTTTTCCAAGGTTTTAGCTCATGGATCGTCAACAGATGGGCTGGGAAAGGCGGGGGAGAGAGAAGATCCCTGAGCTGAGTCTGAATGGTTTGGAGAGAGCCTTGGGCTGGCCAGGAATGGTGGGGGAGCTGTTTGCCACTCCTGGAGGGACTCAGTTGTGCTCCTCCTTTGGTTTTACTTTCCTCTTTACTTTCCCCTCTCATTCCTCAGTATGGTTTTCTTACTGATCATAAAAGCAATGAAAAATTGTATTTAAAAGTTTTACTGGTTTTTAAAACTGCCACTGCAGTTAGTAGCATCATTAGGAAATGTGGTGGGCTGATTTTCTGAGCTGCTGAGACTTGCAAGTCCAGCTGGAAGAGGTACAGCTCAGGAGATCAGCAGGTTTTCATGCTGGGCTTTGGGATAGACTTCTTTTTCTCTCTGATCTGATGGTCTTTCAGCACTCCCCAGGGAATGTTCTCAGTGCTGATATTTAGTGAAGGTTCTCTGAGCCGTTTGATTATTTTGTACTGTTTGAGTTTGCAGCTGAGGTTTGCTTCTGGAAACCTGCTGTAGAAAGATGAATAATTAAGCTGCAGACAGGAAACACAAGATTTTAATACTGAATTGCTTCAGAGTCCTCTTTGGCTTCCTTTTTTGTTATGTCTGTCTGCAGTGGCTTGACCAAATGACGGATCTTGGCATTCCCTACCAGTTTGTGTGTCCAGAGATGCACTTGGAGGTGCTGAATGTGAGCTTCAAGCCAGCTCTGCTCATTGTAAGTGACCAAATCTGGCTACTTATGTACAGCAGGAACAAAACTTGACTGTGTGAATCCTTGGGACTCCATAAAACTTACTTACTGTATTAGTTTCAGAAGTTAGAAAGTCTGCTTGCCTTGTTTGCTACTACTAGCACCCACTTGGGATGTTTTTATGTTTTTTCTTGTCCTGGGTTAGTCATGAAAAAAATTGCCAACAAAAATTTATAGCAAGTATGACTGGAGCACTCAATTAGCCAGTTAATAAAACCTACTCAGAATGTCATTCTGAAAAGGATGGGTTTGGGTTTCTGTGATGCATCAGAAAGGTCAGTAGAGGGTCCTTCCTGTCAGTTCTCATACATACCTGGGGGGTCAGGATTTTCTGAAAAGACCCTCATCCTTAAGGAAACAATCTTTAGCTCGGGTAAAGTCAAAGCCTTTGCCTCCTACAGCAGTAAGCAGAACTCAATAAACTGCAGGGGTTGCAGCACAGCTCTCAGCATTTCCCCAGAGCACTATGCTCACATATGGCATCTGTGAACTTCCAGCTTAACTGCAGAAGCAAATGGAAACTTAAAGCCAAGTCAAATAGGCCATGCAGCAGAGGCTGGAGAACAAAACCAGATTGATCTTTCATCAAGAGAGACTCTGGTATTCACTGGATAAGAGAATGAGCTATTCTATAGACTAAGATAATGGAGTAAGCAGTTTACTCTAGCTCTGTTTCTGCCATCAGGGTATGTGCTGGCACAGACTGTGTCAACACAGATGTTGAACAACAACTTTGGTCTGGGACAAAATGCAGTCATTAATGCTGTGTTGTGGATAGATTACAGATCTCAAGATATTACAGAGGGAGGAGCCAACTCTGCATCTTCAAGTGTAAAAGGAAAACCTTAATAAGGACTGCTGAACCTGACTAGCTGCCTCATAGGAAATTGCAAGGTAAACTCTATTTATTTTTCTGTCACTGCCGTTAAAATAAGTCCAGCACAAGGAAACACTTACCAAGTTATCCAAAATAATGAATAATGTATTTTTCATGTTACTGTCTTCATGAAAAATCCCTGTGATTTTAGTCTTAACAACGTGTGCAGGTGTACTTGACAAACTCATTCTGACAACTAGAGGCACATCTGCATGCTGTCTTTTAATAATGGTATAAATAATTTCCCAAACTGTAAACTACTCCCAGATAATACATTTCTGTACAATCTCATAAATACACAAGTATCACACATGTTAGCAGACAGAAGCAGGAGTGACTGTTCTACCAGTGAGGCTTTGGCTTAGTTCCACAACCTGCAAAGCTCCTTGTGAGGCTCACGTGAACATTTGATATTTCAGGATTGCATCCTGAAAACATCTCAAATTTAGAAATCTTTCCATTTCTATATAACTGATCTTTTCTTGGAAATACATTACTGTGAGGCTTGAACTCATGATGAAAATTACCAAGGTGTAAAGCTCTTGTTCATAGTCTGCCACAGACACTCCCAGCCTGCTGCTCTCTCTGTGCATTGTTAGTACCAGTACTGAGCCCAAGCTGCTGTGGGGTGGGGTGGGAGGGAGCTTACCCACGGATATGAAATGCAGCTGTGCTGCAGGCTCTGTGCAAGGGAAAGGAACTTTGGGCTTTTATGACTGATTGTAGTTTCCTTTGAAGCTGTGTGGATGTGCCATCCCAAGGGGTTTTCTGATGGACAGGAGTTTTGTTGAGGGGGTAAAAACTTGTAAAAGAATTAACAAACACAGTACCAGAGGTGAATTAAGGCTCTTTGTCCCATGAATTTCACAGCTTTGTAACCCTGATTTAGAGGAATTCACTTCTGCTTTGATGTCTGATAAAAGTATATTCTTCTAAGGTAGTCTGCTGCTGGGAAAACAAAATGCATCAAAGTCTGGACTATACTTTGAAAAACTGAGCAATTCAGTGTTCTTGTCTGATGCTTAAAATACTTACAAAGTTCCTGACTGAACCTTGGAAAACCCAACAGAAAGATTGCTGGGTGGTTTTGATTTCTTGTAATAAATTTAGGTGGACTTTTATTCTGAAGTCCTTTTGTCTGAACACTCTCCCTTCACATGACACCCACAGCAGTATGAACGTCCTGGCTGCCCTCTGCAGCTGACTGTGCTAAGCAAGAGACCAAGGTCTGTAGAAACCAGCCCAGTCCACTCTTTGGTTTGAAGCAGCTTCCAGATGTGATGCAAGCAGCAGCTCTGTGTGGGGTTATGCTTATAAGCAAAGGATCTCTCCAGATACAAACCTTCTGAAAATCTGGGTCAGATCGTGAGAGTGATCAGATACTGTTGATGACTTCTGAATTTTCCCTGAATATCAGTCAAGCATAGTGCAGAAAGCCTGAGCTCAGGGAAGTGCCAAAACCTACTCCACTGGTCCCCTGAATCTTGAGCATGTCAACAGAGCAGATATTTGAACTGAGAAGAATGATGAAAAATTAAGACTCAAAGTGATCAACTCAAAGTTCTTGTCCTTTCTGTAAAGGTCCTTTGTAAGTCTGCTCCTTTCTAGTTATCTACTTACCTGTCCTTTGCTCCACCAGCCATGCCAGCCTCAGCATCCAGTTTGATTTCTTGTAATCCACCTGAACTGCAACTGTAGGACCCCTTTTCAACAGCTGTTTGTTGTTCTCTTCTTACAAGGCCTGTGGAAAACCAACCAGGCAGCAGTGATGTGATCTGAGCGGACACTAAGGGGACTCAGTTTCCTGTACCCTAGTTACTGTCTGGTCATTTTTCAATGAGTCCAAGTCAAGTAGCAAGTTGACAATGATCCCTGTGCTCCCTGATGTCTGTTCTTACCTTATGTCTTCCTTCATTTCTCACACTTCTAACCATGCTGAAAAATGTCCAAGGACTGCATTTTTCAATGTGCTTTTACACACTGTCCCACTAAGCACTACTATAATCCTAATAAATAATAATAAATTATATATATGTTATGATTATTTGGACTCATTAGTACAGAAAGACCCACATGATATGTATGTGCAGATGTGGAATTTGGACAAATTCCTGCCATTGTTTGTTGTCTTCTCCTAATGTTGTAAATAAGACGTGCTAAAAAACACTTGGAAAGTTGGTTTGTTGGGCTGTATCATTTCCAGGCTCCCTTCTTGGCTGGTTTGCTGTGTGTGCTGTGCTCTGCATTATCAGGGTGGTGATGCTGGTGTTATCTGAGCTTTCTTCTTCCATTGGAAAGGCTTCTTCACCTGCTTCTTCTGAGTACAGGAAAGCCGTGGGCTGTGGAGCAGGTTCCACATTAGCCAGATCTCAGCAACCTTCAGGCTATGAACTACCATGAGATCTTTGTAAAAACAGGGATCGAACGTCTGTAGGTGTGGGGCAGCAGAAGGCTTAACAATGCCAAAGGTCTTGAATCCTTCATGTAAAATGGGCTTGAGGTTGATTCTCTGTAAGCACATGCCCAAAAAGACATCATCAATGGGGAACAGCTCCACCTCCCTGCAAGCCCTAGAGAGCTTCCTCATGGTGCAGCCGGACAGCAAGAACCCTCCTCCTCCGGCATAGGCGGGGTAGATGCTCAGCCCGTACATGGTCTCTGGGATGTAGTATTTGCTCTTCTGCACACGGATGGGACGGGCATTGTAGATGATGTCCCCAACAAAGAGATCTTCAGTGGGATCGTGTCTCTTGAGGAAATCAACAATGTTCTCAACGTTGACAAAAACATCAGCGTCACCTTTAAAAATAAATTTCACATTGTGGCAGAATTCAGCAGCCCAGCTCAGGAAGTGGATCTCCTTCAGGGTCAGGTTGAAGAAAGTGTCCATGAAGTCCCAGAGTAAAATGTCCCGGTATGTCTGACTCTCCTGCTGCATCAGGGTCTCCCATGTTGCCAGCACTGTCCTATTCTTTGGTGTTCCCAGCAGGAACACTCGCTGGATCTGCTCCCCATTCACCAAACCCTCCCTGCCCCAAGTTTTCCGGACAATCTCACGCCTGTCAAAGTCTTCAACTATCGATTTGATAGCAATGAGCAGAAAGGGACCTGCCGGTGTTTTTCGGCATTTCCTGGGCTGGTTAATGAGGAGATTGAAGTTCCTGTTATCCTTGTTTAGGAGATAGAGCTTGAAGTTGAAGGCAGAATCGGTCAGCGGGGGTGGAGATGTAGTTTGCACCCTGGTTTTGGCCACTTCTGTTTGTCTCATGGCAGGGGTAACTTGGGGTCTGGGTGCAGTTGCCTCTGCTGGCATCAGCCTCTGAGGTGCTTTGAGATCAGAGAATACTTTTGGTGCTACTCGAGGCTTGTTCTGTGCTGGCTTCTTCTTTCCTGCCGGGACTAAATGTTCCAGCTGGGAGTAGAGCAAAGAACAAAGCGCCACCAGCAAGAAGAGGGTACAGATCACATCCCCTTTGAGGCGAACTCTCATTGTCTCTCCAGTGTTCCTGGGACTGTTAAAAGCTGTGTTTGAGCTGCCTGGCACCACTGGCCATCTGTAAATAAACACAGTGTGTCAGCAGTGAGGATTTGGCAGGTCTGAAGCAAGCAGGCAAGACTAACTGAAACATCATTTAAAAACCCAGCAGCAAAGCACATTTTACTCACACAAGCACAGAGATGTTGAGGAAGGGTTGCAAACTTACTGCTGATCCCAGTGCCAGCCAGCTCTGTGACTTGGTTAAGCAGTCATCCATCATCTTGAAAACCACTCTAAGCACAAACCAAAATCCTGCATCCCTTACTGCTGAATGTGTTTTGTCATTTCAGAGATTTCATTGGGAAAAGCAAAGTTGAAAATGATAAATGATGCCATTCTCCATAAGTAATTGCCTTTTTTTCCTTCTAGCTTCACAACCATTACTTGCTGCTTTTAGACTTTTTGACTCAAACCAGGGAGGCCCAGGCTGACTGCTGAAAGGCAGACTCTTCATGGCAGTGTGTTGCTGGTGTTTCCCTGCACTTGGAACCAGCTTTTGTTAAACTGTGATTTGTATTCAAAATGAATACATTGGGTACAATCTAGAATTCACATTTCTCCTGCCAGTATTCTTTATAAAATATTAAACCATTGTAAGTAACTTCCATTAATAAGGTTAGAAGGGGCCATGGCTGTTTTTCCTCTGCCAAATCACCCTAACCCCTAAGTGAGAGGTGGGGAAATAATTCCCAATATGCAGAAGCAAGACAGAACATGGTGTTAGGAAAATTTTGTTCATGTATGATAGATGAAGCTGCCTTTTGAAATACAGGACTTTTCTTCACTTACACTTTTCCTGGAGATCTTCTGTCTTATTTGATCAGTTCTTCAACTGCAAACAAAAATGAGAATGAAAGAGCAGTAAGAAGGCAGCAAGCAGCAGGTACCCACAGTTCAGGGAAGAGCTGCTCAGGTGTCTGAGCTGCAGCAAGGGCAGGTCCTCTCATCACCCTGCAGGTGCAGCCACTCCCTGCAGCAGCAACAGCAGAGCTGGACACAGGGACCCCACAGCTGCTCCAGGAGGAGGCGAGTGACCATCACCATTCCTCCCATCCTCAGCAAGAAGGAAGTTGAGCCCCACCCACAAATTTCCCCACAAGTGCACGTAAGTATTTTATCCACCCACTGAGATCATTTCCAAAGGTGACTTCTGGGATAAAAAAAGCTGGAGAGGCACGTTTGACGAGGACATACAGTGACAGGAGAAGGTGCAAGTGCTTGGTAAGAATTTGGTGGTATCTGTTTTCATCAGATCTCCTTTTACTGTCCGGGACTGGATCACTTGCTAATTGTTCATTAACCATCAATTTTTTATCAGCCGTAATGTTAAGTTTTCAAAGTCAAAATTAGATTGACAAGTCTGTAATTATGAAGTAATAAAATAGTGACACCTGTGATATCTAAGCAGTATTTCAAGACTTAAGAGGAAGAAAAGTATTACACCAGTTGATTTCTTGGCCAGACTCTTTAAAATTCTTATTTGCACATTATTTGAACATTATTATTTAAATACTGTGCTTTTTCCTTACTGATTAACTTCACCTCCAAAGTACTGTTGAAATAGAGTATTTCATCATCATATGTTATTGCATATCTTTTTCCCAAGCTCCAAGATGTTTACTGACTTCATTCACTTTGTCTCCATTATTTATGAAATTCTCATTTTGGAAAACAACATACCCATGCCTTGGTGTAAGGCTCTTTCCATTCCTGGTGTATTTAAAGTCACATTGGCCTTGTCCTGATGACCATGGCTTTTTTCCTTAGGCCTTGTTTCTTGCCTTTTTCTGCCCCCTGATAGAGGCTTTTCTTCATTTGTTAGCTTTTTTTTGTTTACCTTTCACTCCTCTCCTAGGCAGATGTTTTCACTGGCATAACTTGGATACTAATAGCAGGATTGAACAATTTTCTCAGATCTCTTGTAAATTGTTGCTCAAGTGTTTAGAATACTCAGGATCTGTTTTCTGTTTATGTTCTTTCTGCCACGTGGCCTGGCTCATAACCATGTTCAGCCTCATGAAACAATCCCTCCTGACATGTACAGGATGTTGGCTTGCATTTTACATCTGAAGTCCCATCTCCTTCTTCACAGCAAATTTCTTTTTCCTTTTCTATGCAAAAGTTTGATCTTATTTCAGCTGCCAGGCTTCAGATGGTAATTAAAGAGCTGGATGAAAGTCCTGGATTTTTCCTGTGTTTAATGTTATCGATAAGGGTTTGGAATAAAATGTGTGTGTCATGAAACTCGTAATTTCCATGGCTTGCAGCTTTTTATTGCCAGCATCTCAGAATCTGGCAATAAGTGCCCTTGGAAAAGCCAAGGAAAACCCTGAATTGTTACAAGCCTGGGCAGATATCCCAGATTTTCCTCTGTGTTTTCTTTTATTGAAAATAAAGTGTCCAAAAGAGTGATTTCCACTCTGAAATAAAACAGTTCAGTGCTGAATACAGACCTCTATTTTTCAAATGAAGTTGCCAGCCCTTGAAGTGATTCCTTGATCTAATTATACGGATTTTCCAGTCTTTGTTAGATATTTCCTTCTTTGGAAGGAAAATACCCTTGATTGTTACAGTGGTGTAAGCTCTATCCATGGATGGCAGTGTGGGAAAAGCTGTTCTGCTCTCGAATACAGAGGGACTGATGATTCTGGCAGATGCTCTGGTATGTCCTAAAGCCAAAAGGATTATTCATCCACTTTGACACCAGGGGAAAAGAATTACAGGGCTATCAAAGTGAGCAGGAAATATTTGATGCCAAAGGAAAGAGATGAGTGCACAGAGAGTGTTTCTCAGCACAGCACATCCCTGAGTGTCTGAGGCTGATGCACCTTTGCTTCCCCTGCTGCTGTGGGGAACCCCCATCCAACCTGTGAAATGGAGCTGGGCTTACAAACTGCTGCATCACTCAGGGCCTTGAGGAATGGCCTGGCTGCCAGCACTGCCTCTTGTGTCCTCCAGGCTTGGAAAAACAGGCAGCTGTCCCTCTTTGTGTTGGCTGTCTGGGGATGGATACTGAGGAGTGTTGAGTCTGGCTTGATGAGGTCTGGATGGGATCATGGGGCTTTTCTCCCCAGGACAGGGGTCCTGGGGAAGGCTGGGGATGTTCCACCCTGGGCTGAGCACCAGCAATGTTAGAGGGCTCAGCTGGGGAGTGGGAAGAGGCTGATAGGTCACAGATCCATGAGGTGGGAAGATGGGGAGCCATACCTAAGGAATGAGTTGGAAGAACCAAGGGGGCACAGCCTGCAGAGCCCAAGAGCCAACAAAAGGCTGGAAAGCTGGAAGTGGCCAGAGCTGGGCATGGCACCCTGATGAGCATCCAGGCAGGGAGACTGACCTGTGCTGTTGCATGCTTGGGCAGAGGGCCCAGTCCTCTGCCTGGTTTTCATTTATTTGAGAGGAGGATTCTGAAATATGGCCAAGAACAGCCGCAATAAAAGCAGTCAAGTGATGATAAAAAATAATAAATTGCTAGCCCTTCATTCCCAATGGAATGATATGAGACCTTGAGCTCATCCTGGCAATCTTTTTTTGCCACAGTCATGACATCTCCATCACTTGGCACTTCTGCTGAGGGCCAAAATGGAAAAAAGTCCTCTGGATCCTGTTCCCAGATTCAGTCAAGAAGCCTTGGTGATTCTGGCATGCTGCTTTGTGCCTTGAGGAGTAGTTATTCGATCCAGCCAGCCCTGGGAAAAGCAGCTGAGATAATCAACCTGAAAACATGATGCACTGAGCACAGGGGCACAAGATCAGCACTGAGCTCCGCTGCCCACATCCATCCCCACCAGACACAGCTGTGGGGTGGCCTGAAATCAGCTCCTCCCTGCTGCATGGGAAGTGCTTCCAGCTCCCTCCTGACTCCTGTCCTCACTCCTGAGGCTGGAGCTGCCACTGGTAGGTTTGGGCTGGGCAGCAGAGGGACACCGAGGCCATGCAGCACGTGGAGCTGTGGCTGCTGATGGAGGTGTCCTGTCTGTCTGTCTGTCTGTCTGTCTGTCTGTCTGTAAAACGAGCTAAAGAAAGTATGTGGGATCCAGCACTGATGGGTTTGATGAGGTTTGATGAGGTTTCTTTGTAATCATCAGAGAAGACTGTATAATCTCGGTGGTGGGGATACTTTGAGGAAATGCTTCAGGTTTGGGATATTTGTTTTCATTTCATGTTTGCTGAATGCATTCCACAAGAACAAAGTCATCTTGTAGCAGCCTGTGCTGGATACTGAGACCTGCGCGGGCTCTGGCCTGCAAGGGGAAAAGGCTGTGCCTGTGTTCTTCTCCTGCCTTGTTTACAGGAATTTTTCCATCCAGATTCCCTCAGCAAGAAGAAAACAAACTCCCAGGATCCTCCTCACCCGGTTCCTCTGCCCCAGGAAGAGTCCTGACACTGTTCAAGAGCAGTAATGCCACAGGCTCTGCCCATGCTGCAGCTGGGGCTGTGTGAATCAGACGTGTGCAGGTGAGCTTTCTCCCCCCAGAGCAGGATGCTGACAACAAGAAGTCTGCTCCCTCACCCTGGAGGCTGCATCTTCCCACTGACACACTTGGTCCCATCCCCTGCACCCCTGAGGGTTGGGAGAGGGTTTGACTACTGTGCCTGCACCACTTTAATTTAAATGTCTTGCTGAACACAGGGATGTGGGAAGTGTTTTGGGTGAGGAATCACATTTTGCTCTCTTTAAGCTGCACTGGGCTCCATCTTTCTCCTACCCTTCTACAAGAACCTGAATTGCAAAGGCCAAGGTTTCAAGTCCTCAGTATTGTGCTGGCAAAACTTATCTGGGCTCTTTGGGGTACAGGGAACTGTGTCAGCTTCCAGTGCTGACACATGTGAGGTTATGTTGGTGGAGTTTGTTCTACCCCACATACAAAAACTTGCAAGAAACAACTTGAGTTTAATCATTTAAGCTGGGTTTGAAGTGTTTAAAGGGGAAAAGTAGCTCTGTGTATTGGAGCAGGGGAAGAAGCTGTGTTCCACTTCTATGTTTGGGCGCCATATAATGGCTTTTATTCTTCCATAGGTTTGGGGTTTGTTTATTTATTTTAATTTGTTTTTCTACTGCCCCACTCAAGAAAAAGTCAATAACCTCATCAAAGTTATTGCTTTAAGTGGCCCTGGTGTTGAACAACTCCTCTCTGCATTTCAGGGTGTTTGTGAAGGTCTCATTTGGAATTACAGAATTATAAAGTGATGCTGAATTATTTGATCTTCTTGATTAGAAGACAGAAGTGGCTGAAATACAAAGACCCCTTTGGCATGCTGGTAAGTGCAAAGCCCTAGAAAAATGAAGTAACCAAAACACTCACTGTGCTGCCTTACCAGATAAAAACTCATCCTAATTCAGCTGCTTACAAGTTCTGAAGTCTGTAAACAAACTGAGAGCAGGCTGTAGGATTTGATTAGCTGAGTGTCTTGAGAGCCATTCCAGGAATTGGGTTCATGAACCAGAACCAAGGGAGCACAGTGAGAGGAGCAGAGGCTCAGTGTTCAGCTGCCCACGATGGCACAGCTCAGACACTGCTGGCCAGTGCCACAGTCACAGCACTGCAGCATCACTGCTGCTGTTATTTGCTATAGCACCTGGAGGCAAAAGCTCTGTTGAGTCACATACTGAGGAAGCAGGTAACAAAAATGCAGGCCCTGCTCCAAAGACAATTTCCAACTTTCCTGCCAGAGCTGCTTTTCAGGGCATTTTAAATTTTTTTTTTCCAGGCCAGAGCAAATGAATGTATGAGATCCATGCTGTTACAGGACAGGGTGGCTTATTTATCCTCCTGCCTCAGTCCTCAAATATGTAGTTTGATCAGCTTCCCAGCTGGCTGGTCCCATTTTATTGCAGTTTCTTCTGTTGGCACTGCCAACCTCCCCTTTGCAATGCCAGTCACGTTGGATAACTGCTTGCAAATGGCTGCTGCGGTCGCCTCCCTTCACCTTCCACCAGTCAGAAACTTTTCTGAAGTGCAGAAACTCAAACACAGAGGAACTGCAGAGCTGCTGTTTGAAGGCTGTTGAGGTTTCCACGTGCAGGGGTCCCAGAGAGGAACTGGCCCCTCCTTGCTGGGGACTGCGGTCCCATGGGAGCCCTGCTGACCCTGGGCAGCACCAGCTGCCTGCAGGACTGAGCTCCAGGGACGGCTGGCTGCCAGCACCCTGCTCCCCTGGTCCTGCTGGCCCAGTGTAAGTCACTCAGGCACACATGGCACAGTTTGGGGGCTGCAGCTCGTTTATGCAGTGCATGATGCTCTGTCCCTCTTGGGGCAGGATGTGCCCTGGGGGCAGTGCCCACACAGCACTGAGCGGTGCCAGGCACCCGGGCTGGGCTGAGCTGGGCTGAGCTGTGCCAGGCACCTGGGCTGGGCTGAGCTCTGCCAGGCACTCAGGCTGGGCCCCAGGATCCTGGGAAACCTCCATGTCCTCTGAGCATGGCCCCACACCTCTAACGAGTGCTCAGCTGCCTGCAAGGTAGGAGAATGTAATGGCCAATGACCTTCTGCAGGCTCAGCAGCCTCCAGAGGTACTGTCCTACCTTCAGATGCAACTTGCTGTTGGTAGTCTGATTTTCAGAATGGCAAAGGGCTCAGCAGCTCAACTCTGAGTGCTCTGGGGAGGAGACAGGTCCCTCCTGAGTGGCCAAGGTGAGGAACCTCTGGTCTCTCTTTCAAACATTAATTTTTCTGGGCACCAGGAGGGGAATAAAGCCTTGCAGGTTTGTGAAGGAATAAGCAACCGAAACAAACACCTTCCTTTCCCAGCCCTCCCCAGTCTGCAGCGCTCACCACCTCTTCAGCTCCCAGACCCTCTTCTGATAGATCATTTGCCCAATGCACCCTAAAGCCAAGCAACTGCAGTGCTGTAGCATGGATGTATTGTTACATCCATGGGAGATGGGACAGGGAGTACACGCAGATGTGCTTTCAAGATTAATTAATTTCAAGATTATACCCAACACATAAGTTTCTCAGAATCTGCCCAAAAGCTATTAAAAAAACATCAGTAACTGCCTGATGATTCAGAGGGGCTAAATTACTTTCTATCTTTGTGACGCTAGAGAGCTTGAAAATTCCCATGTTTTGCTCAAAGCGTACCACAGTGTAACACGGGGAAGATTCATGTCCTTTTACTGATGAAGAATAGCTTGTAAATGTAACTGCCACCATTGGAACATGTTTGTGCATGGGAGGAAACTCTGTCTCAGAGCGCTGCAGGCATTGTCTAAAGAAGCCCCACATTTCTGTAAAAACAACCTAAACATTCAAAGAAAGTTCTTTGGAAAGTAAAGTGTAGAGCAGATGTCTCAGGGCTGGAGCCTGCGTGTTCAGAGCCTGCAGCCGACCCTGCTGCGTGTTAACCATCACGGTCCAGGCTGCTGCACCTAACGACATCCAAGAGCAGCAAGGCGAAAAGAAAAGCTGGGAGCAAAGGGAAGCAGTAAGGACAGACTTCAGTCCACCCTGCTCGCTGCACAACTCTCCCCGACCCACCGCGATCAAACACCCTTAATCGATACTTACATCCCATTTGATAGCGCCGATCCTGCGTCCCCTCGGTAATGTCTGTGCAGCGGGCTGCCAAGCAGGCACATCTGGATGTAGTTAGCGGGAGACATTGCTCAGCCTTCCCGCGGAGCGCAGCGAACCCCGCGGGCTCGGGGCCGTCCCCGCCGGCAGCGAGCGGAGCGGGCCGGGCCGGGCCGGGCCGGGGCTGGGAGCAGGGCCGGGAGCGGGCCGGGATCGGGCTGGGATCCAGCCGGGAGCGGGATTCGCCGGCCCCAGCACAGCCCCCTCGCAGCCCCGAGCTCGGCGGGCAGGGCAGAGCCGGTCCCGTCCCAGCCCCGACACGTGATGGGGCCGGGGAGCGCCGATGGCTCCGGGACAGGGCGGAGGTGTCGGGCGCAGAGCGCGCAGCCAGGTTGGGGACTTGCACCATTCCTGCAGAAAGGCGCCTTTTTGCTTTCCCGGCCCCCCACCCCCCGCCGTAACTTTTTCCAATAGGAAATGTACTAATTTAATTTTTATTTTTCTTTTCCTTCTATACTTTGGCTTTTTTTTTTTTTTTTAATTTCCTTGTGAGTATTTACCTCTGCAAAGAGTCAAAATGAAAAATAGAAGTTGGGTTCAGCTCAAGTTAAATCTTAAATCCACTTGGGGGTTGTTTCTTTTCTTCCTAGTAGGGAAGTGATGGGAGGATGTGTAAGCTGAGCAGTGCAGAGGCTGAAGACACAGAGTCAAGGGTTCTTTCCAAAACCTGGAACAAAAAAAAAAACCCAAACCCCACGGGTTTGTTTGTTTGGTTGGTTTTGTTTGTTGTTTTTCATTTAATTTGAAATACTTCAAAACAGGTTTTATTTGGAGCCAAATCTAACGTGCCATCACTACTGATCTGCCAGCTGAGCACAGCCACAGCACTACCCATCCCTGTGACTGTTTCTTTGTCTCTGCATTGTAAACAATGATCCTTCAAGTGTCTGGAGAGTGCCCAGACCACGGCCACTTTAGTGAGCCAAGTTTTTCATTTACTTGTCATAAAAGCAGGTTTTTATCTACTCTGCTGTTTTCACAAATACCTCTTTTTAAAACATAATATAAAAATTCCTTTTTGTAAGCATCTGTGCTTTTTTGGATACATTTTTGATTTCAACTTGAAAGTTGTGCTTTACTGAACACACTGTCTCATGAGGAGTGGGTTCTTGATGGGCCACCCTCAGACCCTGCACTCAGGTGCTGCAGGCTGGGAAAGTCCTTTCCTCATGGCTGGCAGCTGCCTGAGCTACAGTGGGTCCTGCTGACCAGCACAGCTGATCAGAAACCTCAGCCATAAATGTTTCTTAGCTTCAGCTCTCCCTGTGCCAGCCCAGGGTACCTCTGTTCTTTCCCTCTGCAGCAGCCCCAGGTTACTTACCTTACCATCCCTGCTCTGTAAGGAGGGGTTGATGGTCACAGAGACCAGCTCCTGTCTGCCTTTGCTCAGCTGGGTGGCTGGGGAGGAACTGCTCCCGGGACCACAGGGACTCACAGCAATTATTTCCACTGTGATCCCTCACCCAGGTTTTGGGACCTGCCTTCCTTTTTGCTTGCTCCCATGGTGTGAGAGGTTTTCACTGATGTGCAGTGCCCCGGTGACTGCCGTGGCTTGGAGTCATGCAGGGAGCCTGGAGGTGGAGGAGTTTCTCCGTGGGTGCTTCTCCTTGGTGGCTGTCTCATGTGGACCTTGTTCCCTGGGCACTGATCCATGGCTGGTTTATTCTTCTCACTGCCAGCAAAGGTGCCCTTGGCCCATCCTGTGCTGAGTCACTGTCATAGAAGATTGGGGCAGTGATCTCTCTGACTCCCCTCAGTAGGTCAGCCCTGTGGTGTGTCCTTCCAGCTGCTGTAGGGCAGAGCCCTGCTCCCCTCCCTGTGTTCCTGCAGGCATCCAGCCATGCAGTTGGGAATTCAGCTTTGTGGTAGATAAAGAAGGGCTGATCTTGTGATTTTCAAACAGTGTTTGAGATTTAAGAGATTCAGGATAAAATACATCTCTGCTCCAGTTCATGGCAAAAGGAGTTTCCCTGGATTCAGCTGTCAGGTCAGCCAGTGGCTTTCTGTGCAAAACTGCTGGAGATTTTATATTCCAGCTCCTTGTGAGAGCTCACTGGTAGTGAAGCACTTGAGATTACAGAGTGCTGTGGCCTCAGAGGAGTCCCAGATATCCAACAGCACTCAAAGAAACACAATGAGCTCCGCCAGGTGCCAGGGGTGGGACAAACCTCCCCTTCTGGCCATGCTGCTGAAAAAGGCTCACCAAAGCAGTAACTGGAAACTGAACAAACACAGAGGCTTGGCTCGGTTTTCTAATCAGAGCTGTTCCCTTGCAGGTGAGACACCAACCTTGGCATGTCAGGAGAAACGTGTGACTTTGGGCAAAGCCCTGCTGGGCATCCACCCTCAGGGTGGAGCAGGTGATCACCAGATGTGGCCAGAACTTCAGTAACCCCTGCTCTTACTACTGCAGTTAAGTGTTCAATTAAAGTCTCTGAGGCAGTTTTCATCAAAAGTATATATTTATTTCTAAAAAAAGAATGGGGAAAAAATATATACCAAAGAACTTTTTCTGTAAGACAATTCCTTGGAGGCTGAATGTCCTAGACCCCAGTATGCCTGGCATTGCAGTCCACAGCTGTAGATGGCTGAACCAGATCTGATGTTGAGTATCATGGGAATCTGGAATTAATGGTCAGCAAGGAATTTTTTCCTTGCTAACCACTGAAAACTAAGAGACATTAACCACACATCTCAAACAGATTTCTATTAGAGATGTACAGTCAGCTCCCTTCAGTAGGTTTAAAATTCAATCCAGAGAATAAAAAAATACACATTTATTGACTCTAGGCCTTAAATTGCTTCACTGTTTGAGTCCATCTCGATAAAAAAGACACATGGCCAGAGCCCTGTCCAGTGTAAAGCACCAGTGTCATGCACACACTCCAATATGTGGGTCAGACTCAGAAACCCTCTTGATTCCTCTTCTTCTACCTCCTTGGTTTAAGGACAACAGATACCAGAGGTTCACCAGAATTTTCAGTTTAACTAAATCATTAGTTAAGGTGAATTTGAGCTCCTCATTCTGCCCATGCTCACTCCTGGTTTCAGAGTCTGTGAGCAGCTGTCAGGGTATGGTCCCTTGGGAACAGCAGAGGGAAGACAGTGACCCAGACAGCAGGACAGCTCCTCAATGCTGAACCTGCCTTTGAAACGAATGGCAAAATAAACAGATCTTTTCATTTGAGACGCTCTTGTAACAGGGTATCCTGTCAGGTTTGCTTCTATCAGATATCTCATGTCAAAGTATAGCTGGTGAGCATTTCAATTTCACTCTCCTTTTCGTTATCATCTGTTTGAACACTGTAGGTCAGCTATGCCAAAACAAATAATTCAAATTCTCCTTTGGATGGATCTTTTATTCATTCTGGCAGACTGAATGGAGACTCCTTCAAATCTGAAACATGGTTAAAACTACAAAAACAATCTGTACCAGAAAAAAAGCCATCTTGGATCTCTTCCTGTAAGCACATTTTGGTCTGATTTCTGCTGTTAGTTTTATGGGTTTTCTGTTTCAGATTTTATATGCAACTGGTTAGCACCTTGATTTGCTTTTAATATTGATTCTGAAACACTACCATCACCCCTGATTTTTTCTTTTTCACAGATATATCTCAGTATATAGAGAAGAGTACTTACTGGGATAAGGCAAATTTCTCCAGCAGCAGCACTGTCCATGGCTTATGTAGAGGTATGAAACAGCCACTGCTATGTCCTAAACCATGCCATGTGCTTGAGACAATTTCACCATGGAGTATCACTGAAAAACCGTTTTCCTTCAAGCCTCTGCAATGAAGGCACCTGTGAATGCTGTTGGAGATTATGACATTCCAGAAAGGTTGCCAGGGGCTCCAGCACTTAATGGCACTTCTGACAGAGAATTCTAACAGGGAATATGTGAGTAAGAGGAAATACACATGCCAGTTACTGGCAGAAAGAAAACGTTTATATTCCGAAGAAAGCTTTCATGGTTAGTCTTCTGTAAAAGAGTAAGAGCAGTAAAAAAGTTTTCTGGACTTGAAGTAGATGCTGAATAATGAGACTTTAGCATTTTGAGCATTAACAGATGCTACAAAAACTAGTAATTCTCACTACTCAGTGGCTGCCTTATAACTATATGTGCAAGTTGTGAACATATAGCTGGTCTGAGAGCTTAGAAAAATTAATTGCAAATGGGACAGCAGGCTATGCATATGACCTTGTTTTCTTAAAAAAGTAAATTCTGCAAAATGAAGACCAAACTCTCTTGCTCCTAAAGTAATTTTCAAATTTCTGATTTTTAAATTTTTTAAAATATGATTTGTCAGGTGGGTTTCTGGCAAAGAGAGTTCCCCAGCTGGGATTTGGAAGGAAAGCTATATACTTTGAGGTATGGTTCCACAGCAGCCTAAATTAGCTAAGATCAGCACTACTGTGTCAGTCCCAAAAGCTAAACTGTCAGAGAGGTAATCGCTTCATTTTGGGAAGAGCACTGGTACTATTGGAAGGGAGAGTGTAGGATATGGAGCAGGAATGGAGGAGATAAAACTGCAATGGCACTGATATAGAATGGCTTTGTAAAAGGTGATGGAGCCACAGTCTTTGCAGAGATGGTGCCTGCATGAAGTCCTGCTTCCTTGGAAGCAAGGGACAAGATGGAAACAGATTCACTCACACCTGAAACGAGAACTGAAAGCAGGAGTCAGCCCTGGGGTTTGGGAGATTTCTCTTGTAAACCATTTTTACCCTAAAAATCAGTGCAGATAAATCCAGGCATGGTTTCAGCTGATGTTTGATTGTCACACAGTGACAGCAGTGCCAGGGAAAGGCTCTCTGTAGGTCCTGGCACCTGTGGGACACAGCTGGGTGAGCTGTCCCCTCCAGCCTGAGGGTGGTTAGGAAGTGAGTGAAGGCAGGAGCAGCCAGCTGAGTCTGGTGATTGCTCAGCTCTGTGGTCTGAGGATGGCATTTGATGCTGCAATGCCCTGAGGGCAGCAGTTCCAAACCGTGCTCCACAGGTAACTTGCTGATGAGGAGACTTCCAGCGTTGTGTTTTGCTTTCTATAGCTGCAGGCTCCCTCAGGCTGGCAGGCAAGAGCTAATCAACATATTACTGTCTACCACAGATGAGAAAAAGTTGACAATCATTGCCTGAATTTGAGTTTGTCCATATTGTTTGTTCAGTGTCTGCCATTTGTTGTACAGCAGCAATCTTTTGCCCTGTGGAAGACTGCGGCTGTCCCAGGTAGTGGGAAAGCCTTCAGGTGGTGAGAAGTGGGAAGGAGCTATGACAGAGCAGGGCAGAACAGATACTCTTGCCATGAATGTTCTTTGTTCTTCAAAGAAAGAAGGAAAATAATGTAAAATTGACTTTTCCTTACTTTCTCATTTTTCTTTAATTGATGTCATGGCTAAGAGCAAAAATGTCTTCCATGTAGAAATATATTGCAGCTCTCCAGGTGATGGCCCTGGACACAGCCTGAGAAGCAGTGGCAGTTTCTGCTTCTATGAGAAGCCTTGCTTGCTTTTCTCCTCTCCCTCATTCTCCCCTAGGGCTCTCTGTCTGGCGGCTTCCCTGTCACAGTCCTGAAGGAAATCAGGGTGAAAGCCTCTCACCAGGTCACAGGAAGGTAGTGCTATATTTCTGGAAACACAATGAAATAAGGAAAGTCAGAGGTCCATGCTGGCTTCTGCAAACACAGAACCTCTCCCCTGAGCATTTTCACCTAGATGGAAATCTGTGGTGATATTCAGGACTTTACATTCCCAGACACTGGCAGCAGTTTCATACAGTAGCTAAAGCAGGAGAGCCCTTAGCAGTGGCACTGTCCTTTGGGCTCTAGGAGCAGTCCTCAGTGGAATGGAGGCCCAAGAGCTCCTCAGCCAAGCTGACGAGCCCGTTTTCCTCCAGGGCTGCGATCAGCCGCGCTATGGTGGCCTTCTTGCCCTCGGACTGGATGAACCTGAGGAGCATCTGGTAGGCTTGTTCATAGAGTCCCTCTCGGTCGTACTCCAGCGCCAGGTTGTCAATGACAGGGTCACGCAGGGCCCGGCAGGATTTCTGCAGAGAGCGACCCACCTGCTTCCACTTCTTGGACACGGACTTGGCAAACTTCTGGTGGTCGTCGGGTGTGATTGCTCTGTTGTCTGAAAGGGGCAGACGCCAAGTAAGACACAGAAGTTTCCTGGCTGACGTGATGCAGCTTGGGCCAGTTCAAGGTTTGGTCCGTATTCTGTGGAGCAGGGAGTCTGAGCTCCCTGCCTTGCCCAGCTGTTCCCTTACAGAAATCCTCCCACAACAACAAAGCATCTGGGCTTGCCCCTACCCTTCAAGCTTGGCAAGGCCTATTTTTTTTTTTTTCTCCCTCAGAACTGTCCTGTGGTTTACCAGAGCTGGGTTGGTTTTTTTTTTTTTTTTTTTTTTTTTTTTTTGTTTTGTTTTGTTTTGTTTTGTTTTTTTGGATGGACACCCTCTTCATTTGTTTTAGCCTTTCAAAGGCAACTTGGAAAGGCCTTTCTGACAAAGTCCCCTGTTCCCTATCTAAACATCCTCAAAACACTGAAATGCTGACAGGAGCACTCTCCTCAGCTGTTAAGCACTGGAGACTATACACAGCTTAAGCAAGCTCAGAAATGATTGCTTATCTCAAGCTGATATTGCTGTTGAGACTCTCTGAAAACTCTCTGTAGGGACAGACCCCAAAGCCAGCTGGTGAATTGAGGGAGCCTGGACAAATCAGTCCTGTCTGAAAGTAGGGTTGAGGGTGTCCATGGTAACTCCCCCAGCCTGATCCAACCTACACTATTAACTCACCTCAACCAAGTGACATAGAAGAAGAGAAAAATACTCTATAGTCTTCCTTTCACTATTCATTTTAAAATGTGAGGAACATGGAAGAGACAAAAACTCTGAAATACCTGGTTCTGTACCACCCTAGAAAAGAAAACAGGTTGATGCCTGATCTGAAGCATCATGGCAATATCTTAGGACTACTGTAATTTCTTTCTTATGGGATGCTGGGAAATGCTTGGTTTCTCTGAGGTAGACCCCAATATGTAGTCATGATAATTCTCCCTCCTGGGCTGTGAGGCAGACCAAGGCCTCTGTTGGTCAGCTCTAGCTACTCACCAAACTGCTGTCCCTGAAAGATGAAGGTGAGTTGTATGGGAAGGGAGCTGCCTTGAGGAGGATAAGGCTGAGATGGGGACTTCAGAGATGAGCAGTCTTTTCCAGCCACATTGTTGTTGGTGCTCTGGTGAAGCTTCAGGCTCTTGAGGCGTTCCTCCAGCTCCATGATCTCCTCATCCGGCAGGCGGTCAGGCTGTAACACAAACAGTATCAGTGACTCTGCAGGGACTCCAGCCTGCAAAGCTGTGCTTGCTGATGCTTAATATTCCTGATTGATAGTGAATGCCTATTTCTCAGAACCATTTAGAGGAACCAGAGCTAAAGTTCCAGATGGAAAAAAAAAGAGGAGGGGAACAAGTCAGTGGGTTTAATCATGTCAAGTGCCTTGTCCTGAGATGACAAGATCTCACTGTTCTTGCAAGCAGGACTAGAGTGCCAGAGCCAAAGTGTGCAATGAACCAGAAGTCAGATGAGAGACTTTGCCTTCAGAAGGGCAGCCTACTCTTGCTGGCAGTAGATGCTGTGTGTCCTCTGACACAAGTTTTTGCGATGTGCAGTGTTTGCACTCACTTCCACTGTTCATTTCCAGGTGCAGTTACCTTTGCCACTCTAGGAGGAGGTGGTGTGTGAGGCAGGGGAGGGAGGTGCAGAGCAGTGATGGTTCCAGCCAGAGCTGCTCCTCTCTGCCCGCCTCACAGCTGTACTGAGGACACTTGTGTGTAAGCTGCACTGTCTAGAACTCCTTATCTTAGTGGGGATAACAACCATGCTAGCTGTTTTACACAGAAAGCACAGAGAGTTACCAGGATCTTGGCAGGCTGCTTTAGGTAACTCTATTGCCGTTTTTTCTGAGGAAGGGCAGAGCTATTTCTCCACATAAGAGTTAAGAACTAAAGGACTGAGAAGTTTGTTAACCCAAAATGCTGCATCAGAACAAGACTTGCACCCACCTCTGCAAGCCCAGTGCCACCCCTCCTCATTGCTGTCCAGCCTCTCTCCCTCTCCCACTCACCTTTTCTCTGAAGATGCACTCCAGGCAACGATCCTCATCCTTCAGCATCTTGTCAAGGTGCTCACTGCCAGCCTTCAGCTCCAGTTCCAGAGGCACCATGGTTGTGGCCAAGCAGAGCTGGAGGTGACTCTGGAGGGACTTCTGGAGCGCTCCTTCGCGGTAGCTCTGCAGGAAGCGGCGGCAGTTCTCCTCCTTGCAGAACCTGAGCTGGACTATCAGGTGTGGGTGGCTGCAGTGCACCTTGAGCATGTCCACACCATTCACGCTGCCAGTGGAGTCTGGCAGGGAGAAGGGAGCACAGTCACAATCCAGGCATGAGCCAGCCCACACAGACCCTGCCCATCCACAGCAAGCCTGCAATAGAGGAGCTTTTGCAATCTCTTTGTGATAAAGTCCTCTGGGATGGAAAAATGTGTTAAACCAAGAGGGAAGGATTAAGTTCATGCCACCCTGCCTCCACGAGCATGGTGTCCAACATAAGATGTATGGAACTACATCCCAGGTAATTATATTAACACTGCCCTAATAAGGGCAAGTTTTAAATTAGAGGTTCCATTTCCAGGGCAGAGATAGTTTTGATAAACTTGTAGCACACGAAAGTTTTATGGATGAAAGCTCAGTTCACCTCAGTGCTCAGTCAGCCTTCAGTCCTTGTGACTGGAGTTTTATGCAGTGATGGAGGTCCTGGAAAGAAACTCAGTGTTTCCTCTCCACCTGTGCCTAGAGGTAACTTTTGTTTCTCTGAGCCTTTAACATGTTTCACAAACAGCAAATGACAGATTCTGCCACAGGGATTAAGCTGCTTGAGATTGGGCCTTGACTTGTTATTTTGAACAGAGAATTAATTCATGGTAAAATCTAAACAAGGAGAAGCCAGGGATGTACCCTGTAACATTATTGCAGGAGGAGCACGAACGATGTGGAAACAGAAAATGCCAGGACTTCATTCTTCCTTCTCCCAGCAGAATTTAATTTTTATTAGCTGTGCTCATTATCCTTATCTCCACAGGATTTTACATGCTGCTGATGAGTTCCAAGTATGTGTTTTTCTCTTTTTTTGCAGCAGAGGCCTTTGTGAGGCTGCTGTACTACTTCCAGACCTGACTGCACCTCATGGGCTGTCACTGAGGGCTGTATGGAGACACCAGCTCACACTGGCCCTACATCAGGTAAATACTTAAACCACGTGTCATGGCATGGAGGACAATCTTAAGACAAGGCAGACTTGTGTGCTCCACATTAAGCAGGGCAAGTACCTTGCATTTAAAAGTATAGTATCTAACAGTGGCTTTACATGTTTACTAAGTCCTGTTTGCATCTGGTCTAGTTTGGACCACATGTGTAACTGACACATGGGTTTAGGCACCTGGAAAAGACATTTAAATTCACTGTGGATGATTTTTTATCACTTCCTTCATGCTTTGCTTTTTATGAGTGCTTATTAAACAAAACTTCTATAATAGGGCAAGAGGGCTGTGGAGGGAAAGCTGCACAGACATGGAAACCTTTAAGAAGAGTGTACAAGACAGCTGTAAAGCTGCCTCAAAAGATGGGACTTTGCAGGCACTTCTGCATGAAACCTCAGGCAGCTTAAGATTTCATGTCCTTTTCAGGTCTGACTAAGCATGATAGGATTTCGGTTTTGTGAGCTGCCCTTTAAATGTGTGAGTAGATTCACATTCCAGTGCCACAAAGCAGCAATAAATCAAGCCTGACTGCACAACTGTATTAGGTTGCCTTCTTCCTGTTTCCTGTATTTGGAATGAGCTGCAAAATGAGCAGGCCTGTATTGGATAAACTGACTTGGCATGGTTTCCAGAAGAAACTGCAGAATAGTTAGACAAGCCCAATTAAACAGTAGAGTCTCAGCTGTGTAACAACTGTGTAACCACTGCGAGTCTTCCTAGGTAAGTGTGATAAACTCTTCAAATTCCTATTACCCTGCAGTGTGCTTGGTGCAAGGGTGGATAGAGAAATATACAGTTTTATGGCTATTTGCATGTCAAGTAATTTTTTGATGTAAATAGGGTTACATACACCTCAAGCTAATGTAAGTGTGTCTGCTTATATCAGAATCCGAATTTGAATTATATCAGAATTTGAATAGAAATTAATTTATACTGGCTGTTACTTGATTTAAAAAAACAGTTTTTCAAAGCAGGAATCATGTTTCTGTGGTGGTATAAAGACAGCAATTAAATCTTCTTTCACAGCAATTGCAGTCTTTTCCCGTTACATAAATGGGTTTAAACAAACATTCATAAAGTTTGATAATTCACAGGATGGTTCAAGTTGGAAGGAAGCCCAGGAAGTGTCCAGCCCAACCTCCTATGCAAAGCAGGGTCAGCTCTGAGGTCAGAACCAGTTGCTCAGGGCTTTATCCAGTCCGTTTGAAAGCCCTTGAGGATGGAGAGTACACAGGCACTTTGGGCAACTGCCTGATGTCTTAATGGGGGAAACATTTATCCTTTTGTCAGGTGTCTACCTCTCATTTCAATTTGTGCCTCTTGCCTCTCATTCCCCATGCACCACTGTGAACAGTGTGGCTCCATCTCTCCCTCCCATAGGTATCAGCAGGTGGTTGGTAGGTCCCCTGAAACCTTCTCTTCCTCAGGCTCAAAAGGTCCAACTCCCTCAGCCTCTCTTCATAGGAAAAGTACTCCAGCCCCCAACCATCTTGGTGAACCTGTGCTGAGCTTGCTCCACTTCATTGCCTTTCCTAAACAGAGCGAGCATGAGCTTTCCTTACCCATGAGGGTGAGATTAAAGAAAGGCATGGCACTGCACACCAAGATACCAGAGGATGGGTACCTGCTAATGCCAGCTTCAGGGCCTTGAACACACAAGGCTTCTTCTGGGAGCTCTCGTAGAGGGACGGCAGAGCGATGGTCTTGCAGGTAGACTGAAGGAAGAGGTAAGCGCTGCCAGTCCAAGGAGGGGAGCTGCCTGCCATCTTCAGCACCCTGAAAAATCACACAGGCAAGCTCAGAGACTGTAAGGGAAATGTCCTGATGCCAGGAGAATGTTACAGCACAGGCACAACAGGCTTATGGGGATTTTCTCTTCTTGGAGCAGTGCTGATGTTGCTAAAGCAAGTGTAGCCTTTGAGGGGTTTACTGTTATTCTGTAAAGCACACCACAGTGGGACACCATATCCCAAAGAGAGCAGCTCGCAAAGCTTTGCTTTCATTTTCCACTGCAGTCCATTCATTTCAAAGTCCAAAGGTACTCTGAAGCAGAGTTTCAGTCCCTGTGCCTCTGACTAGCCAAGCTGGCAAAATGCAAAATGATTGAAGCGCTCCAGGGACCACCCAGCAGTCCTGGCTGTGGCATGCTCCCATGGACTAAAGCTCTATTGCAACCAGAGACGTTTTACTTAAGGTCCTGGTGGCTTGGTTGTTCACAGGGCCCAGAGCTCTTGTAACAGGACACTCTACACAGGCAGGACAAGGGTAATAGGTTTAAACTAAAAGAGGGTAGATTTAGATTAGATATCAGGAAGAAATTTTTTATAGTGAGGGTGGCAAGGTACAGGCACAGAGAGGTGGTGGATGCCCCATCTCTGAAAATATTCAAGGCCAGGTGGGACTGGGCTCTGAGAGACCAGACCTAGTTGAAGATGTTCCCGGTCACCACAGAGGAGTTAAACTGGATGGCCTTGGAAAGGTCCCTTCCAACCCAAACCATTCGGTGATTCTGTAACTCGGGGTACCTCTCTGCTTTGTTTATGCCCTTTGTTCTTGTGCCTCTGCAGTGTTAACCCAGCGGGTCTCTTCCCGTCCAGTGAGCACTGCCCCATCGCAGCCCCGCGGTCAAACCGCCGCGGGGCTTCCAAAAACCAGCCCCGGTCGGTAAGTCACCTTTGCCATCACGGTCATTGCCTTTTCGCTGACTTCGGCAGGCGTCAGGCCGCTGCTGCTCAATTCCCGTCACAGCCGGGCTGGGAGCGGGCTGTCCCAAAGGGAAAAGCGCCGGGGCAGCCGCCAGCTCCATCCCGCCGCGCTGTGCCGCCCGCGGGGCTGCCCCCGGTGCCCGGCTGCCCGCTCGGTGCCCGGGTGTGCCCCCAGCCCGGACCGAGAGCCCCGGAGCAGCCCCTCCAGCCCGGCCCCTCGCTGTCCCGGCGGGACCCCCGGCCCCGCGCCCCGGCCCCGGCCCGGCGGCCCGGGCGGCGTTACCTCCTCAGCGCCGGCCTCGGCCCGACACTTCCGCCCCGGCGCGGCGCCGCTCGGCACCCGCTGCGGGCGGGGAAACGGGAAGGCGAAAGTAAATCCCAACAGCCCCTGGAATGGCCGGCGGCGCTTCCCTCCGGTGCCTGCTGGTTGTCCGGGCCCGCCCCAGGCCTGCCGAGGCCGCGCGGGGCCGGGGCTGCGGTGGGAGCCGCGGCCGGGGCTTGTGGACGCCTCGACGCCTCAGGTGTCCCCGCCGCAAGGCCGCCCACACCGCTCGGTGTCTGGTGTAGGTGAGGGTGTGACATCTGTCAGAAATAGTCCGTGCAGGTGGCTCCAGAGCTGCCCGAGGGCCGGGATGCACGTATCTCTCTGGACCATTAGGGATAGAGGCGAGTGCGGTGGCTCGAAGCCCCTGCTTGCCTTTGGCTGACACACGGAGGCTGCTGGGTCCCGGCTGGCCCATGTCAGCTTTTCCCCGTAGTGCTGCTGATGAGAGCTTGGATAGGTGGAGAGAATGAAGCAGCATTTCCCAAGTCCACGAGAGGTTCTGTGCTGGTCAAAGCATGATTTGGGTCTCTTTTGCTCAACCCCAGGTAGCAGCCTCCTGCCCAGGCTGCATCTGCCTTGCACAGGTGCCCTGTGAGCTGAAGGGTAACAGCAGCTCCCTTGTTTGTCCCCAGCTGGTGAAAAGCTGGCATGGGCCTGGGGCCAGATTTTGGGCTGACGTGCAAGCTGCAGGCACTCTGGCTTGGCAGTGGTTTGTGCAAACTGGGCGACTGAACTGCAAAAAAAAGCAGGAAGCATTTTAAAACACTAAAAATACCTATATATCTGATGCTATTTTAAACCAGCAGTATTTTAACAATATAAACCTAATTCATTTGCTAAAGGAAAGACGTGATTCAAATAGAACTGTAAAGGGGTTAACCTGGGCTGGATCTCCTGGGTGCTCTGGTTCACAGGGTCAGATCCAGGGGGGCAGGCAGTGTCCACAGACCCCTCTGGGTCAGCAGGCCTGATGGTGCCAGTGCTTCTGGAAACAAAGCATCTACTTGCTAACAGTTTTAGCAAGTGAGTTAATATATTTAAAGGTCTGTCTGATGGGGCTAAATTAACTTGAACATCCCAACATTTCACTATAAAAGCCAAACCTGAGTGCTGGCTCCCAGAACCAGGTGGGAACTACAGTGTGATTGCTGTGGGGAGCATCACCCACCCATGTCCTGGAAATGTTTTCTCCTTGAAGCCAATCTGCCTTCTGTATATTGTGGGGGTAAAAAAAGAATGGATAGCTGAGCCCCAGGTTTCTCCTCTGCTGACCCTTGCTGAGTGTGTGCTTTCTGGGAGCATCCCTTGGGCCTAAATCAAAGTGCTTGATGAGCACTTGGAGTTTCATCTTGCTGTTTTCCACTTGAGAAGCCAAGATGGTAGTGAGGGGAGAGGCTGTGGCTCAGTGGGGCTCAGCTGGCACAGAATTGGGGTGTCAGGGTTCAGAGGCAAGTCTGCCTGGGGGGCTGGGGCTGGCATAGGCCAGGCTGCCCTGCGCTGGCAGCAGTCAGAAGGCTGCAAGCACACTCTTACTGTCTATGAGATTCACGATCCTTCTTAATGGCTCCAAAGGCTTTAAGGAAATCATAAAAAAAAAAAGGAGCTGAATATGAGATCTCATTTTGCCTTTGGCAGATGTATGTTAGAGACAGTATTAAAAGCAGCTAAAAGCAGAAGAGCAATGTCTGAGCTGTCAAGGTGATTTTCAGAGAAAATGGCAGAAGATGCTGAGTTCCCAGGAAGGAAGCAGGACGGTGTCACTTGGTGCTGTAGCTGGGCTGGGTGGGAAGGGGGTTGTCGCTGATATGATGGCAGATAAGATAGCACAGCTGCTGTGCTGCTGCCACCTCACACTCCCAGTAAGGAGTCACGCTTCAAAGCAGCACATTCTAGAAAAACGTGCAGTCGTGTTCCCCTCTGCGTTACGCTTTTTGCGTTGCTGTTCCGTACTTGCTTCATGGCTTTCAACTCCAGCTCTTCTTTGAGGCTCTCTTGGTGCACAGGTTTTTATTTAAATGAAACCTGCACTGCTGAGGGAGTGCTGTGACTCTGGGACCTGGGGCTTCCACAGCCCCAGAGAGGGCATGCCATGAAATTCAGAGTGAGACTGTGAGACCAGGCCCACACTCCAGTGCTGGCCTGGGAAGGGAAATGTTCGCTTTTAAAAATCTCTTGCTCGGTCATGAGAGGGCTGGAAAAACATGTCATGGTGGGAGTGTAGTTTGTGCAGAAATCTAGAAGAGAGGTGCAACACATTTTGGAAGAAGGCAAATGGAAAAGTTAGGTAATGATCTGATGCTCTAAACCTTCTTGCCAGACACTTACTTTTCTGCATTATAGTTCACAGAAAAGGTTGATTAAAATACACTTTTCCTTTATTTTGTGAGACATTTTAAGTGCAGTTTTGGTGAACTGGAGTCAAAGTCAAAAAAGGTTTTTTTTATCAAACTGCAACATCTCATCCCAGGCAAGAACCTATGTCATTAAGCTGCTGGTTTCTACTCTAGGCCTTCTGTTGCACTATCAGTAAAAAATGGATATGTGAGGCTGTTTTCTGTGCAGAGCTTCTGCTTGCAAAGAGGTTTTTCCCCCACAGTTTGAGAAATCTGTCTCAGCTTTTTGAATACCAGTGCAGCAGTACCAGAAAATTCCCTTGCATTTTTATTACTCAGAGTAGCAAAACCTCAGTGTAGGAAAAAAGACCATTTTTTCCCCAAAAAGCTTTCATCTGACATTTTTAACTCTTGAAAGTATCACTCAGCTTCTTAGGATTGGTTGAAAAAAAAACCCAAAAAAACTGTGAAACAACTGACCAAGAGATTTTCATAATTTAAGTTCAAATTCAAAATTTAGTGAAATTTCAAGTTTGATTTTTTAACCTCCTCTGTAGTCCAGTTTGGTTTATTAGTTAAATCTGTTGTTTTATTTTTTTCCAATTCTCTTGAGAATTGATTGCAGTTTTGGATGTTTTCCCATGTTTATACCTGACTGAATTGGTAAAATATCTGCTCCAGAGCCAGAACTGTGGCATTACATCCCAGAAGAAATCCTTGTTTGAATATTGTATTATCTTTCTCTTTGAGATGGACACAGATACTCCCGGGTACGCAGACAAGGGGCTGCAGCTGTTCCTTCCAGCTCTGTTTGGCACTTCACAGAGGTCAGGTGAGAGGAGTGGGGTCCTCTGTCCAAACACCTTTGCAGGAATAACCTGATCCTTGTTTCCAGTGCTTGTCAGACATCTGCTCCACTCTGCCATGGCACTGCTGACCTTGTGGCTTCTATGTGTGATGATGTTACCTGGCGTGACTAGCACCTGTTTATATAAAATTTGTGTTACTTGCTGGGTTTTGTCAGTCGCTACTGCTGATTTGGGTTTCAGGGGAAATACCACATTCTTAGTACACTAAGTTGCCCTTTGAAAATGACAAGAAAAAATTTATGCACTGTTATCCTGACAATAATCTTGTCTCTTCTCACCTCCTGACTCTTTCAGTGTTTGGCCTTAAAGGACTCTGTAGGCATCAGGTGAGAAATCTGTTCCATTTTTTAGCAGGAATGTTGAGCTTTGCAAGTTTTTGCTAAGGACCTCAGGAAAATTAATGTTGATTTTATGTTTTATTATGTTATTTACAGAGCAGTTTCTGAGTTGAAATTACCCTGGCAGTAAGCCACACATGTATTTAGAGCTATTTAAATTTTTATATTAAAGATAAAACCATATTGTCTAATAGACTCTATGTGTAGCTGTTTTTAGCATCCTGTTTTCTCATGCAAGAGCTAAATAATTTCTGTTAACAAATAACATAGTAGCTAAACCTGCTTACAATTTTGACTTTTCAAAGTCTTGCTGAAGATGTACAGCCTGAATCTGGCCAGCTCTCCTTTGTCTATGCCAGCCAAAGTTTAGGACAAGAAAATTCCAAACTAACAACTCAGGTGCCTTCAGCCGCCTGGGGTGTCTGTGCCTGGGTGTCCCACAGACTCTGGGCAGGTGGGTTTGCTCTGGTGACTTGCCCACCTCCCAGCATAAGGTGGGCAGCACGTGTTCCCTTTGCATGACGCTGCGTATTTATTCACAGCTCTGCGAGATCGGCTGCAGTGCATTTTCATTCTGTGCATTGTTCTCCGGGGCTGGTGATGCCATCCCATTGTGCTGAGTTTTAAGAGTGCGAGCAGCACTGCTGATGTGACTCCCTGGACGCCTACTTTCCACTGGCCTGGGATAAAATTGGGTGGCTCATTCTGTGCGGGACGCAGGCGTGCCCAGGGCAATGGGGTCAGTTTAGCCAGGACACTGCAGAGCTATGCAGGATTCACCCAGCTCCCTGGTGATGGATGGATACCCCAGCAATGTCCCAGCCTTCCTAACAAAACTCTGGACGCTGGTGGAAGACCCTGAAACGAACCATCTCATCTGCTGGAGTTCTGTAAGTGCAACAGGTATCGGGTGTCACTAATACCTGCAACAACAGGGAAAACCCAGGTGTGAGGCCTGAGAACTGCTTGGCACAGGAGCTGCCCTCTGCTTGGCAGGTGCTGCCCTGGCAGAGTGCAAAAACAGGATTCAAGTACAGGCACTTTTGGATATACTTGGTATTATTTATCTGAAATATCGTGGCGTTTCTGTTTCAGAGGGGCAACTGTTTTGTGGGTGTTTTAATTATGGTATTTACACATTTCGCTTGAAACATCCTAAAAAGTGACTAATTTTCTAATTCTAAGAATTCCACAGGCTTTGAGAGAAATATTTTTCACTTTGCTTGAATCTGCAGCTCCCTAACATTTTCTAGGAAATATGCAAAACCCTTGAAAATTTCACTGCTGTTTGGTATTATCTCATGTGTGCTTCTTAGCAGCTTCTCATAAATGTCTAGGTGGAAGGCAGGAGAGAAACAGCACTCAGAACTCAGACTCAAACCTATAATGTAAACAGATCTCCGACTGGCACCCTAAATCATTGTGGAAGAGCTTTACTTGATTTTTCAATGAGTCTGTGTGATGATAATAGTGGTGTGGGTATATATTGTCTGTACAGCTTCATAGGGATAGATTGCTTTGCTTTGGCTTCTTATTTTTCACAGAGGCATTAATATACTAACTGCAAGCACAGAAAAAATATATTTGTCCCCTTTATACAACACTTTGATACCACATTGTGCTTTTGACCTACAACTTGTTGCAAGTAATATGATTTGTTTTCAGCAAGGAGTTATTAGATTAGCTATGTGCATAAACTTGTTTTCCAAAATCAAGAATCTAACACTAACAAATTTAAAGGGAGGTGGTAAAAATGTCTAAAGCAGCCTTTCTTGTATATACTTTGTGTCCAGTAGACTTTTCATTCAAAACCTGAGACAGGATTTGAGCTGCATTGATATCTGTGACCATGGTTGTTAGATGCTGGTATTACATGGCCTCTGAGAACCACCAAACTTTAAATAAGGATTTTAAAGCTAGAAATTATTTTCTAATCTGTGTAAATAGTCCCCTCTCTGTTATACTTAGAACACTGTTATTTTTGACTGACCACCACCGTGCTTTGATTTCCTGGAAACTAACTTATATATAAGTTATAACTTATATATGCAGCTATATCCTTGGAGGTTTTGGTTAGGCTTTTAGGTGTCTAATTTTCCTGTTGTTGCAGGTATCCATGTTTCTCATATTTTTCAGCTTCTATACATTGGTGATGTTGGAGCTGAGAGATTGTGTGTATGCCTAAGATTTCTGGGTGTAATCAGTACTTCTAGAAGATAGGACCCATAAGGACCTGTGAACTGTTTCTTAGCATGAAGAAGAGATGGAGAGGAAATGCAGTAATGGTTTATATATACACTAAAGTCTGTTGTGAGGTGGAAAGGAAAACTCTGTTCTCTGTGTCTGTGGTAGATTGGACAAGAAGTAATTAAATTAATTTTTTAAATGGAAGTGCAGTAAGGGAGAACTGGCAAATTCCTGGACTAGCACTTGTCTTGTCAGAGCACAGCATGCCTGTCCTGGTGGTTCTGTCAAAAGCAGGTGAGATAAGCATCTGCCACGATTGTTGTGCTGCAGAGTCAGTTTTGCTTTGGGCTGAGAAGACTTCCAGAGTTTCTCTGAGCTTGTGCTCCCATGGTGTAAAACAGCCAAGGTACTGCTGCAGTGTGGGAACAAACTGACACATGCACGGTTCACCGGTGAGCACACAGTAACCCCAAGACCTCTTGTGTCTGTAGGAGCCTTTCTGAGTGTGCCAGCTTCTGAGAACATTGTGGCCCTGAATTCAAAGGAATGACCTCTCATGAAAGGCCATAAGGACTTGTTGAGGTATACAAAACTCTCGTGCTTCTCGTTTTCCATCAGTGGGTCCAGCCTGGGACACAAAGCTGTATCCCAGAGTAAGGAGGCAGAAGCCCAAGGGTAGCAGAATAAACCAGCTCTGTCCCCAGGGCATGTCTGCAGTTTTGGGAAACCCTGGTCCCTGCTGTCCTTTCGGCAAACTCTTGTCTGTGAGGATAATT